CGCCCGTGTCTCCGAGCCCACCGGCTCGAATGTGGCTTACGTGTTGTGAAGTGGATAGGAGGATTGTTTAAGTTTAAATTGTTTTGACTCAAGTGATGTCCCCGGACAGCAGTTACGGGCGTTACGAAACGCCGACACCTACGGACAATAATATGATGGGTCCGGTGCACTCCGAGAGGGAACCAGAACTTCACATAGGTATGACCTTTTCCCTTGCGCCCGGTGTCCACTGACCCAAGATGAACAACTTATGTAAACAAACAATGTTATAGCAAAAAATTTAAAAGTACTTCGTAATACGTCGCGACACACATTTGTTAACTTCAGACCAGACAAAAATTTACGATAATATTTTTTTGTTTACAATTTGCTGTTATAGTGAAAGCTTGTTTTTGTTTTTACGATGTCTTTATTTCAGACCAAGTATTTACTTTTTTGTTTTCATTTTGTATTTATATTCTTCCATGGTTTTTTAATTCTTTTTTCATTTTCACAAACATGTGAACGTGTTAAAACCTACATGCGTAATTGTGCATCTTTCGACTTTTTTTTATTACTTTTTAAGTATCCTTTATAGTAATTTTGAATAATATAATAAATAAGATTTATTATATTTTTTGCCAGGTACTTTTTGAGATTTCTTATCATGATTGGTTACGTAGTTTTAGCGCGAAGGATTTACTTACAGACTTGTGCAGGGTGTTTAATTTAAAAAAAAAAGAACAAATATGTACAATAAAAAAAATTGAGACTGTGATTGATTATGGAATTTTTTTGTTGAATTTACCTTTTAATATTAATAACAAAGACACTGTATTTCTTGTACAAACTTGTGAAATTTAACAATCATTAATATTTTGCGACAAATATTCTGTTAATCGATTCTATTGAAGGGTTCAGTTAATTATGTTTCAGTCGAATTGAATTCATCTGCAGAACGAATTGGTGACGAATGTATGGAAGGGTTTGACAGAAAACAATTAAAATCGCTTTGTACGAAATACGTTGTACAATTAATGGTTCGACTACCCTATTTAGAGAATAGGGTGATTTCTGAGTATAGGGAACTTATTGATTTCGCTAATGATCTTATCGTTTTATTGATTATTTTCGCTTGGAAATCTACTGATAACAATAAAAGAGTTGACGGTTACTCTTTATGTGTTTGTTTGAGCGTGTAATATTGTTGATGATGTTTGTTGTGCGCGAGGGGCCGCAGGGGGAGGGGAGTGACGTGACGTGCAACCAGCTGTCTCGCCAACCACTTTTACTTTTCTCTCGCAGCTCGTTTCTCCAGTTCGCTCACGACACTTCGTGTTTAGACTACACTTACTTTCTTCAACCACTATTCATGAACATTTTATAATGTTATTTACTTTTAATTACTCTCTACTCTATCAATTTGAGATTCCAATTAGGTCATTTAGAACCCTCTCTGCTTATTTTAGTGGAGGGGATTCAAGGAAATCGTGGTGATTTACTTAGTTTATTGCTAATAATGCTTATTATTTGACAATATGTTTAAAATTCTCATGTAGATCAAATGTCTTCACTGTGTTTTTTTTATATCTTGTAAATACACTTGACAGTTCAGTAAGTTTTATTTTGTAAATATATATGTGTACACATATTTCTTGATTATTTAGTTATAATTACAAGCACTTCTCGTCTACTACGTCATTATGTGGAAAAGAAAGGTTGCCAATAATGTAAAACGAGGCTGCGACTTGGCAGAGAAACTTGGTATGTTATTATTATAGAAATAAGCACGGCGGACGTGCGCGTTGACTAGGAAACAATATTAGAACGTGATTACGTATGTTTTAAATATGTCGATGGTAGCTAAAAGCTAATTATTTACAAACTTAGTTCACCGTGACACAGTTCGGGCGGGCGAGGCGACGTGCCGTGCCGTGGCGTTACGTGGATACTTTCTCGCGCACTTTCCTCGCTTCTTAATTGACGTAACTAACGAGTGGCTCTCGCACGCGTCGATCAGAGAAAAAAATAAGTCGTGTTGCATCACACGAGGAGAAATGGCTGCACGCCACCGATTCTTTGCAATTGCACTAGTTACGTGGCGCAACACTTTCCCTGCTCTATTGTGTGGCCCGTCATCTGCTCTGGTGTGCGCACGCGCATGAGCAAGCGAGATGTGCCCGCGGCCATATGATGCGTCTGAAAAAAGAAAGTAACACCATAGAAAGCGACCGCGGCGCGGAGCGTCGACCCGCCCGCGCTGCCAGTGGTGCGCGCCAGAAATAGAAAGTACTATCCGAAAGGCCGCGCTCGCTCCCTTAACAAGTAAACAAACGCAAGGGGAAAGTGAACGCGGTCGGGGAGCGCACGAACCCGTTTCCTGGTCGACTCCTCCGCCCCCGCCCGCTGCCCGTCGTCACCCCGGTTCTGCCTTGTACGCTCCCGGACCATTACACTGTCAAGCGTGACACCTGTGCTGGCCGAGGCTCTCTATCACTGACCTACTAACTAAATCGCTTTAACAATTAAGTATTCTTTTTAAAGCTGAAACAGTCATTAATGACTCCATTAATGTAACCGATGCGCTGTGTTAATTTAAAATTGTATTATGAATGCGATAGACAACATATTTATCTCGGTATGCTCGCGTCAACTCTCGTTACGAACTAGAATTTTCATGACTTATGTAATCATATGCGTAAAAGTTCATCGACACCGAGTAAGTAGAGTGAAGACGCGCTTTCTAAAATCGCTAGCTAGTGTCAGTTTAGCGCGCGACGAAATGTAATTACGTCACGAGCACGCGAGTGCACCTGATGCGTTAGCAATGAGCGGGACTCGAGCTCATTGCAGGTTTATAATGCGTTTTATAAACAAACCATAGGTGATTGTGTAACATTTAGTCTAAATGTAAACTTGCTGTATCGGGAAAGCGCTAATCAGTATGAAACTGTGCGATAAATCACGCGACCGAGGATTCAATGTGTTGGTGGCACGTGCAACTGCGATACATGCGTGATTAAAGTAGCGTGCCATTTCTACGAAACACTATAAATTAAGACATCACGCAAATAAATTCATTAACAAACATTTTAAAACTTTTCGCAAAAGGAGACTTCAATGACAATCGGTCACATTGACATTGGAGCACAAATGTGTCAGTTATTAGGGTTTTTAGCGTGTATCAGTTGAATGTACGCCGATGACGTAAGGTCAGGGAATTATCGGCGCAGTCACATGCAGTGCGGTTCGTTTGTTATACATACCTGGCTTCTAACTGAGGATGTTTGGACACGCCAAGGGCCGCGGCAATGTGTGCAGAATTGTACAAACATTCGTCATCGTCGTACACCTGTACGATACGCCAACATTGACTTTGAAACGTATACAGTTTTGCTGTATAACTTTGTGTTATAAACAAGCCAGTTACAATTGAACAGTTTAATTAAGTGTTGCTTTCTTTGTTTCAGAATTTGACGGGACCACAGTGCTTTGCCGCGTGTGTGGCGACAAGGCTAGTGGCTTCCACTACGGCGTCCACTCCTGTGAAGGCTGCAAGGTGAATACCAACTTAATTTAATATTCCGTTATTCAAATGTTCTCGTCGCTACCATCCAGCAAGCTCACCAGCATTAGAACTAGATCGTCAAATTTTCCACTGCACTGACACTGCGTCGTAAAGCGTATCGTATCGTATTTATTTATGGTGTAGGAAAAAAGGAATGCCATGCATCCCACGTGTCTTTATCGTTGCTATAGAGCGGGAAGTGCAGAGTTTTGGTGACCGCTCACCTTTCTTCGTATCTGCTTCGTACTGCCATCAACTCATGCCAATTGAGCGCAGTAAACACACCCACATCCTGATTACAAACCGCGCGCGACTATCGTTTTTAACTTGTATGCAATACGGCACTAAACGGCGTGCGTGATTTCGGTGGACATTGTAACTGGAAGTGTTCTGGGTGTCCTAGAGTATCAGCAAGGCCGCGATACACGGAAGACAATCTCTGTAACGACCGGCGAACGGGACACTTTTGAATATAAAAATAACTATTTACTGACGATATCGCCTTGTATCTCTTTACTAGCGGCATGCCCCGGCTTTGTTTGTCTGCTTGACCGAAGTCTACATTTTCACTCATAATTATATACCA